TATAAAAAAATATTTTAGATAAAAATAAATATAAATTACTAATATAGTCGTACAGTATAGTATGTGTATATGTATATGTATGTATATACATATAATGCAGTATCATGCAAAAGTTTGCGTATGTAAAACACATTTTAAAATTAATAACATATCAGAATAAATACTTGAATTTATTAAGAGATTTTTATGGAAAAATAGGTTTATAATAAATTTTACTATATATATGTATATAAACATACATACAATACATATGTGTAATTAAAAAATAAAAATAAAATTTTTATTTACTTAATTCAAATGTAAGTATCTTACTTTTGGAATTTTTCTTGGGATTTGAATTATATCAATGTTATTTTTTTGATTATTTATTTTTATTTTAATTAATAAAGATTAGTCTTTGTTCATTTTATTTAATCTATTTTAATTTAATCGTCAATGTTTTAAAGATATTACCTAGACCCAGAGTGCACTTTCTGATGACGAGTGAGGTTCGATCGATGACCGTACGTTTTTTTGCAGATAAAGCATTCATATTTACGGATGCCCTTGTGCTTCGACAGAAGATGCTCATTCAAGGACTGTTTACTTTTGTACACATTCGGACATTTCGGGCACTTGAATTTGCGCTTTAAGTGACTCTGCAACGTAAACAACAAAACGCTTTAATATAACTTTTAGTTTTTTTTCTGCGTTTGTCAAAACAGCTAAACTTAATGTACTATGTAAAATCACATAGAGTTCTTCGATATTTTAATTAACAAGTTATTTATACAAGCTTTGGAAATAAGTTCCTAAAAATTCCATATCTTTATAGGTAATACATACATTTATTTTTTAAATATATATAATTAAAATATACAGCAATTTTTTTCTTACATTTATATGAGCGCGCAACATATGTTTGGATTTCAGTTTCTTGTGACATATATCGCAGATATAATCATGTAAATGTACAGCTGTCTTGTGATGTTTTTCCAAAGCTTCTTTACTCGATAAGTGATTTTGGCAAATCTCGCATGCAAAACTGTTGCTTCTATGCCTATGCATGTGGACACGCATTCTCCTGTGCGAATGATAAATCTTACCGCAAGTGTCGCAAGGAAAGTTCTATAATTGTAAAAGAGAACAACATTCAAGAGAAGCGAGAAACATTAA